GGGGTCCGGGATGGGGCTGGGTGTGGAGGGGAAGGCCAGGACTGATGCTCCCCACTGAATCCCACCACTGCATCTTTGACAGAGGAAACTCAGGAACCAAGGCTAGTGCAGGGCAACTGACAGGAATGTCTAGTTCTACCTGGGATGAGGAGATGGGCCCCGGGAAGGAGGCTTTCCTGGTCCCTGAGCCCACACACCCCATCCAGCTCTACAGGCTCCCCTGGGCCAGACTCTGTCCCAGCACACTTGGCTGCTTTAGTCCAGCTTAGTCCAGACCCATTTCACAGGGCTTACTGGGGTGGCCAGTAAAGGCCCCCGCCCAGAAAGGACAAGAGGAGCAGACCCCACTCCCAGACTCCATTTTCCTGTCACCTGCCTCCACCCACAGCGGGACACATGTGCACTCGTCACTGTGTTCCCCACGATGCTGGAAGTGTGGATTTGCAGACAGGGCTCCTTCATTGGCCCAGCCCTCTGGATCCCCCAGAGCACACCTACACTGCCAAATACAGCCAGGCCGGGGTTCTAAAGAGCCCCAGACATGTTCTCAAGTCAGGGTTGAAGTTGGGCTCTGACACTAGCTGGCTGGGTGACCTTGGACAGGTGGCCCTCATTCCTTGAGCCTCCCACTAGAACCCTTGAAGTCAGCTTCTGGCCAGAGAATGCAATTCGTCTGATTCTGGGAGAGTAGGCCCAACTGAACTGGAGCTGGGTGGGAAGGGACAGGGAGGTCAAGACCAGAGCCTGGTGAGAAATGCAAAAATGACCCACATGTAAATCAGTCAAAGTCAATRCCTTCTCTTAGGACAAGTCACACCCAGGTGCCCCAAAGAGTGCCCATGACTTGACCCCTGGGTATCTGCAAAGACAGGAGTGGCCTGGGCACCTGAAGGGGCATGGTGACATAATCTGCAGGGAACAGTCCAGCTGGAAGCCAGACCCCCTCCTGTGAGCCCAGAGCCCTGTCCCTCAGTGAAGCTCAGTACTCTGTCCCAGATCACCCTACAGATGTCAGCATGTCATACCTCAAGCCAAGAAAGGAGTGCCTTTCAGTCTGGGGATGATGTGGCACAGATCCAGGAGGAGCTGACTGCTGCTCCCTCCCCAGGGACCACTGTGGACTCGGGAAGGGCATGCGGGCCAGGCTCACAGGGCTCTTCCTTGCATGAAATACCCCGGGGTGGCAGGGAGCCAGTCTTGGGCCCTGTCTCCAAGAATGCTGGGTAGGGTGACACCAGCTTGGGGGAGGGGTGTTTGTTCCCCAAGGCTGCCACAGGCTGGCAGCTGGGCCACTGGGGCCCGGGGGAGACCCAGATGTTGTCCCTTTCAGCTCACTGCTTCCCAGAGTGTGACAGGGAGACAAGCGGCCATGAGCAGGAGAGGCCCCTCCTGATCACAGAGCAGTGAGGAGGGAGGGCAGGCCATCTGTTCCCCAGGCTGAGGGGCAGACTAGGCCTGGGGGGTGGCTTCCCAGGACCAGCAGGCAGGGCCACCTTCTGGCCAGAAGTGGACTTCAGGGGTTCTAGTGGGAGGCTGAGTGGACCGCAGAGGAGCTGGATTCAGAACCCCACACAGAGAGTGAGCCTCAGAGGAACCCTGGCCTAGAAGGGAAGACCCCGTTGTGAGGCAGCTGGGAAGGGGCCGCCCCAGCCTGTAGGCGTGCACCCCAGATGCTCTACCCCGACCTGCCTGGCAGTTTCAAAGGCCTTTTTAGACCCTGGGCAGCAACAGAGGTCCCCACTGACTAGTCCCCCTCCCCCTCGGGGCACCTCACTTCCTGCCTCTGTACCTGAAGACAGTTCCCAGTCTGTCTCCAGGGAGGAAGCAGAGGAGTGGCAGACACCCCCCATCAGCAGGCTCTTGCTGCGCATGGTTCCATTCTACACCATCCCTCATCGGGGACACTTGACTCCGCCATTGAGCTCCACGATGGCTCCTTCCAGCCAATGCTGAAGCCACCCAAGCCCCTCTCATGTTACCGCGAAGCACCAGAGCCCATCTGCCTCCCCACTGTCTTTCTTCATGGCTACACTTTGAAGGACATGTCCATGCCCCAGCCCACTTCCTCTTCCCTTCCTCATTGTTCAGTCCCATGGCTGTCCTGCAACTGCTGTCTGCACCTCTGTGACTTTGCTGGTCCTCTGTCCTTTGAGATTCCCCCTCCCTGCTCCCAGGTGTGCCCATTCCCTGGCGTCCAACTTGGCACCCCTGGCTTCACTGCAGTTTCCTCTGTCCACCTGGGTCTTGATGCTAGCCTTCTCCCTTCAAGAGTGGCAGAGGGTTGGGCCGTTGAGTACCAGGGCCCTGGCATCAGATACCTGGGTTTCAAGACTCCTGGTTACCTGCCAGCTAAGTGGTCCCTCACCCCTTGTGCCCTCATGTCCTCAGGCATGAGGATGTAACAGTGAAGTGACCTCCCAGGCCTGTGAGGGTTTGGAAGCACAGGCACAGGGCAACTCTTGCTCACAGAAGAGCCAGAGGGCACTCTGCCTTCTGGGTCCTGGCACTGAGCTCTCAATGTGAGCAAGGGCCAGGGAAGCCTAAGGCTAAGGTTGAAGACCACTGCAGAGGGCCTCAAGCATCGGGGCTGACTTTGGAATTCCAGTGGTTTGAGGACACATCATGTGTAGCAGCACATTGCTCCTCCCAGCAACAGGGTGGGCTGGCTTTGGGGGGCTGAGCACAGAACATCATGTTTTTCTCTGATGTTCCTGCTCCCAAGGAGATCAGATCCCCCAGCTCCAGCCACCTTCCCCTGAGCATCTCCTCCAGATCCCTGGGGCCTAAGGGGCGGGGGCTGGCAACAGATGGGTTAACCCCTAGCCTGGCTGGTGGAAGGACTGCTTCCTCACCATGCAAACCCTGGGCTCCCTGCCTCCCCTGAGCCCTCCAGCTGCACAGCCCTCCCCTCACATGCATCCCCCACCACTCCTCTGACTGAAGGGGACAGAGGGCTCCCCCAGGTGGCCAAATGTGCCACAGCTGGAAGCTGGGAGTCCTGTGAGGACCTGCTTCAAACATGTGGCCCCTTCAGCCCCATGAATATATCTACTTGGTCAGACCAGGTGTTCTGTTTGAGGATTTGGAAAATCAGGTCCCCTGGGCGTGCATTTGTGTTGGCAAGACACAAGCCAGGTGGGCTGCCCAGCAGTCTTACAGTATTCTTAGCAGGCTCAGGGACTGCTCGCAGCCATTCTAAATGCTGCAGGGTCTGGTCTAACAGGCTCTTATGTGTCATGGGTCTCAGAACACAGAGACATGCACAGCACAGAAGCCCTAATAGAAACCAAAACACTCCAGTAAACTCTGTCGTGGACCATATGCCTTCACCTTGCTCCCGGTATTCCATCCTGCTTCATTTACTTCTCACAACAACTCAGGAGGCAGGCACTCACATTTCCCCATTCAGCAGATGAGGAAACCGAGGCTCAGAGGAGTTAAATCCCTTGTCTGAATCATGCCGCCAGGGGAAGGCTGAATTTTAACTCAGATACACCTGACTTCTCACGAAAGGACACAGGACTCTTTTCACCTCAGGTGTGAACACAGCAGGTGTTCAGCTAGAGCAGTGGCCATGCCTGCAATCCCTGTGAATCAGGAAGCTGAGACAGGAGAATCCCAAGTTCAAGGCCAGCCTCAGCAATTTAGCGAAGCAACACAGCAACTTAGTGAGACCCTCTCAAAATACAAAATGAAGCTGGTGTGGTGGGCGCACACCTGTAATCCCAGTGGCTCGGGAGGATGAGGCAGGAGCATCACAAGTTGGAAGCCAGCCTCAGCAACAGGGAGGCACTAAGCAATTCAGTGAGAACCTGTCTCCAAATAAAATATAAAATAGGGCTGGGATGTGGCTCAGTGGTTGAATGCCCCTGAATTCAATCCCTGGTACAAAATAAAATGAAATAAAAAAATGAAAAGGACAGGGGATGCAGCTCAGTGGTAAAACACCTAAGGATTCCATGCCCAGTACAGGAYCCCCCCCCCCCCAAAAAAAAAGCAGGTGCTCATCAGGTGGAGTGACAGCAGGCCAGTCAGACCAGCACAGTGAACACATACCTGCAAGAGAAAGAGAAGGAGAAAACCAGATTCCCTCCCAGGTTCATACAGGCACCTGCAGCAAGATGTGTGCAAGAAGACTTGGGCTGTGCCTGGGTATTAGTCCTTCTACACCACTCACACCTACACACCATTGAGTGCACGAATATCCAGAAATTCCCAGTGAGAGGCTGCAGCCCACCCTTGGTTTCCTGGCAGACTGAGTCCCAGCATTCTCAGACCCAGCCAGGTTCTGTGTTCCTGGTAACAGTCACCACATGAGTAGGGGACAGATCCATGAATGTGGGCTCTCTCTTGCGCTCGCACGCGCGCGCGCACACACACACACACACACACACAATCTTCTCAACATAAAACCTGCTGGCCTCCTGAGCACACAGTCAGCCCACAGTATACCTGTGTCACCACCTCCAAGAGGATCTCAAGAGAGATGGAAGGTGAACTGGCCCAGGAGCTGAAAATCCCTGCCGCCCCATTTTCATGTGGGCAGGATTAAGCTCCTGGGATCCAGACCCTGGGTTGCAGAGTATCCTTGGGTGGTGGCCTCCAGCTCTCCCAGGCTATGAAGCAGGTCTTCTGCCCTCCCACTTTGAAGGTTGGCCAAGGCATGAAATGCCCAGGATGACCACCAGGGGGCGTGTGAGCATTGTTAATCCCTTCAGCCTGGTCTCCTAAAAAACTTCATTTAATTCATTTCTAAATATGTATTAAGCACTCATTTTGTGCCAGGTGCTAGGACAGAAAAGAAAGATGGGGGAGGTGGTTAGGGCAAGGGAAGAGGTGTGTGCCTACAGTTTAGAGGGACTGGAAGGTAATGGGGTGGGGGCTGGCAGGAAGGACTTGGTCAAAATAACAGCTAGAATGTACTGAGAACCAGCTGTGTTCTAAGATGTTCTAGATTTTTGGCATGCGTTAGTTCATTTAGTCAATGACTATGGGCTAGATAATTCAGAATGTCTTCTATTGTTCTTTATTGTTATTAGAGTAAGGCAGACAGACATGAGTTAAATCTCCTAGGTTGTCACAGGATTATAAAGGACAGTACAGGATGTGTGTTAAGTACCCAGAACGCTGCCCAGTTTCTATCATCATCCCCAATTTTCAGATAGGGACATTCAGGCACAATTAGCATTTAATCATGGGCAGGTTGGTTCCAGACGGTGGGCCTACCCAGGCACCATGAGAAAACTGGGGCGGGCAGTCCCAGAGAGGGGACAAGATCTAGTTTGTTTTTCACACAGCTGCAGGGTGACCAGCCTGATGGCAAGGGAACTAGCTAGCTAAAGCTGTCACCATGGTCCAGCAGTGATCAGGATGGCAGTGGATGGAGAGAAGACAGATTTGAGACTCATCCAGGAGGCAACATGGGGGGTCTTGGGGATTAGTTTCTTGCCAGAGTCCTGGGGAGGGAGGAGGCAGAAGCAGAGGATAGGGGAGAGTTAGGGGTGTGGGGGGCCCAGTATGTGGGCCCCAGACCTGCCCTCCAGCCTTGACCTGAGAGGTTCTACACTCCCAGGGCTGAAGATAAAGAAAGAGAAAGCTGCCCAATTCCTATGCCCATCTTTCCTGGATAGCCTCGGGATGGTGAGGACCAGGAACCCTCATACTCTGACTGTCTTCTGTTCAGGGCCTTGAGGATCAGGGATTCACCAGGATAGGCACCATAAGTGGCTCTCATCCCTCCTGACACCCTTGCCCATTGGTGAGTCCCTGAGACTCACCCACCCTTTAGGGGCGGCCAGTCCCCCAGCACCTGGGTAATGATAACATACCCCCTGACCTTACTAACAATCATGTGGAAGCTTTACTTTCAAAAAGCCCTCTCCTCTACATTTAATCTTCAGAGTGACCTGAGAGATAGGCCCCCATTATCGGGTTTCCAACAGCGAAGCCACATGGCAGGTAAGGAAGGGGCTTGCCGCACACAGCTGCCGAGCTGGTGCCTAGACCAACCCTCTTCCAGGTCTCTTTTTTGCTGCAAATCATGGGCTCTTCCTTCCCTGCCCCACCCCACCCCCTGCACTATCGGGTCATTGGTGGCCATCTGGGGAGATGGAGGCATCTGTCCCTTTCGGATTAGGATCCCTGTGCAGGCCTGGGGGTGGGGCCGCACCGCGGCAGGGCTCAGTCACCAGTCCAGCACGGGCTGAACCTAGGCCCAGCTTCGGGCCCCACCGGGGTGGAGGGAGGAGGGGAACTAGCTGGGTGAGGCCCAGGGCCTCACGTAGGGTAGGGGCGGGGTGGTACGTGCCTGGCAGACAAGTGGGGACAAAGAGGGCGCCAGCACACCTGGCGGCCGGCAGCCAGCGCCCGCCAGCCCAGATTCAAAGTGGAGCGGAGGCTATGATTGGTGGCCCAGCCTGGAGCCCCACCCCTTCTCTCACCTCCCAGGCCGCGGGCCCAGAGCGTGGAGTTGAGAGGCCTGGCTGGGGATGAGCTCAGTTAATTCCTTCTCGTGATCCCAAACCCTGCAGGGCCTCTGCCTGGCGGCGTGGCCCCCGAGCTGCCAGGCTCCGGCCATCTCGTCACCCCTCCCTGGGCAGACCTGCAGCCCGCGGCCTTCTGCGCAGACTGCTCTTGCCCCTAGCCCGCCTCTCGAGAACCCCCTGTTCCCAGGCCGCTTTTCCAGTCCAGGCACCACCTCGGGACAGCTTCCTGGGCCGCTGTCACTTTCCACGTGGGCTCCCTGGCCCTCTCGTGCCCGTCGAGCCTCCGCACGACGCTGCGGCCCAGGCCCCGCGACCCGGCGCCACCCCGAGTGCGGGGCGCCGACGGCGGCGGCGTGGGCGGGCGGGCGGGGCTGCCGCGGGGGGCTCGGGTTTCGGCCGCGAGGGGCGGGGCGGGCGCGAGGACCCGAGGCCGCGGCCAATCGGGCCGGGTCCCGACTCCACCAGCCGCCAATCACGGCCTGGCCGGACCTCCCCGCCCGCCGCGTCCTTTGTTCCCGCCGGCGCCCGCCGCTGCCCCCGGCCGCCGCAGGTCTCGGCCCGGCCACTTCCGGCCCGCGCGACCCGGCCGGGGGACTCCGCCCCGCCGCCTGGCACAGCCTGTTAGTGGCCTTGCACACTCGTGTGCTCGTGGCTGCCCCAAGGGGCTCGGGAGGGCGGAGCCAAAGCCCCAGAAAAGGACGGTGGGGAGTCTGAACTTTGACCCTGGGTCCGGGGCTACCGGTGCGCACCGGGACCTGGGCAGCGGTCCAGCCTGGGCCGCGGCTTCCCGCGCTCTCACGCCAGCTTACTTTTGCTGGGCTGCCTCCCCTGCCTCGTGGATGCCGAGCTGGCCTTGGGGACACAGCCTCTGCGAGGCCCCTGAGAGTCGCAGGTGCCTTCCTCCGGTTCTGTCCGGCAGCGAGCCGATGAAGGACCGGGAGCCCCGTGCCTGGCAAGGCAGACCACAGCGCTCTCCCTGCTTGTCCATGCAAGGGACAGCAGGCCAGCGACAAGCCCGGTCCAGATGCTTCCCTGGACACACACACCTGCAGGCCCAGTCCTGATTCCAGTTGAGACCGAGTGGAGGCTCGCTGAGTTAGAGCTGCAGTTTCTCACGATGTGAAATGGGAACAGTTACTGTATTGGTGTCAGGTTTGGTTTTGTTTTTAATCCCAAGTCAGGCCTATGGTAAAGACCAGAAGAGCTAAAACGCGAAGACCAGAGTGACTGGTAAGGAGCTGGGCACGCCACGCACTTGCCCTCTGAGAGCCTGCCTGGCTCCAGTTCCCAGATCCAGTGGACACTCCTGCTCTCCTTCCCCCTCGTTGAGATGCTCTCTCCCTTGACCCTGAGCTTCCACTCAGGACTCTATCCTCAGCCTCCTTTTCCTTATTCTCTCTACCCTCTGGGAGTGCGTTGACTCTTCTGATTTTCCTGCCTCCCCTCTCCCCTGGGAGACTCCACAAAGGCCTTGAAACACCTCGAACTCAGAAGTCCTCACCACCACCCCACCTGCCCAACTGCTCTGTTTCTGTGAAGGAATCACCATTGTCTAGGAGAGACCTGCATGTCATTGCCCTGCCATGGCCCCACATGCTCTGATGGAGTCTGGCTCTTAGACCCAACCTCTTCTCCCAGGGCCCATACCTTGGCTCGCTCTCTCTTACTTTTGGCCTGGTCTCTGCCTCCACAGTTCGCAGGGCCCACTGTTGAAAGGGTCCCTCTTCCTAATGCCCTCAGCATCCAGGCTCAGCTCCTGACCGACAGGGACTTGCCATCTAACCCTGCTTGTTTTCCTGTCTCAACCACAGGCACACAGGATTGCTTCAGTTAAAGCCCTTGAGGTAGGTTAGGCTAGTGAGTGGGTCCACCTGCCTAGGGCCCCCTAACAGAAGCAGTGCTGAGCTGGGGACGGGGAGGGAGCATCAGAGGAACAGCTGAGGCTGGGTGGGGAGCAGACTCACCCAGTAAACAGGCCCTACAGACAGGCACACAGGGTGAGACCTGGTTCTGAACTGGCCACTTTGTGACTTTGTCTTGGTTACTCACCCTCTCTGTTTCTCCTGGTGTCCCAGATGAGTTTAATATGGCAACTGAAGGAGAATTTAGGGCCAGAAATGGGCAGGGTCTGCCTCCTCTCCAGGGGATTCCCCAGGGCCCCAGCTTCTAAATCACCTGGGGAAGGGGAGGGGCAGGGAATAAGATGGAGGAGCCAGTTGGGAGGCATTGGGGAGGAGGGAAGGGAGCTGAGGGGGAGGGGAGACACACAAAAGAGACCAGCTGCTGTTTGCACACAAACCCCAAGTTGATAATGAGTGGAGGGCAGGGGCTGCTGGGAAATGGCTTGGCAGAAGCCTCTGCCCAGGATGGTGCCCCTCCCTCTGCCACCTCCTCAGGGTTCCCAACCCACACCCAGAGAATGAATTTCCCCCCAGGGCAACATCAAGGGAGGGCAAGAGGGCCCAGTCTGAGTGAGGTGGCCCCGTAGCCCAAGGTAGCACCCATCCTGAGCACAGCCTCAAAGTCCACTGGAAGGGCTTGTGCCTAATGGAGCCCAAGGTCCCCCAAGCAGCTCCAAGCAGGCCCAGGTCCATCTCTGAGCTCCTGGTTGGAATTAAAGCACTTGGAGAGGATCTAAGAAGAGGGAGCCTCCTAGGGAAGAGGCCTGGGAAGGTCTTCTGCCCAGGCAGGACCTCCCCCAAGCAAAGGGATGTGGGGAGGCCAGTAGGCTCCTCCTGCTTGTGCCTAGAACCCCAGTAATGCCAGGAGGGCTGCCTGTGGCCCATCGGACAGGATGCAGAGAAACGAGCCAAGCAAGACCAGCTGGCACCCAGGGTGTCAGCAGTGGGAACCCCACCACCCTCTGCTACCCCCACAGTAAGAGTCATGGAAGGGTTCCCCTCCTGTGGCCCCTGGGCCTGCTCTGCTCTGTGCCAGTGTCTCCTGACCCTGGGGGTCTGGCTGGCCTGTTGGCATCCCCCATGCCCACAGCCAGCTCCTGCCATGTGGGCTGTGGATGCAGCTGACAGGCCTGCGTGTACACAAGCACGTGTTCTCCCTGCTGCGTGTGCCAGCCTAGCAACCAGGAGGGGCTGGCAGCTCCCGTCGTCCCTGCCAACACCTGCTCCAGGAGAGGGGCGGCCTAATGGTGAGAACGGAGGACAGGGCTGAGGCAAATGAACAGTGTAGGGCCTTGGGCTTCTGGGCCCATCCCCAAGAAGCCAGGGGCTGAGGTTTGTAGGGAGAAAACCTAGGGGAGGGGGGTGGAGCAGGAGACCTGGGCAGGGCCCGGCAGGGCAGTGGCATGGTTACTGTGGATGCCCTGTTAGCACTTTGTCCTTCCCTGTCACGGCTGGAATGAGACTAGGTGCAGGGAGGGCAGAGACAGGGGTCCAGGGATGTGGGGGTGCTGGCAAAGGCTTGGAGGGGCTATAGGGGTGCAAGGTCAGAGGTGTATGAAGGGGACTGAATGAAGGGACTTGAACACCCAAGTGAATGGGCAGCGTGTCCTGGAGTCAGTGGGAGCCATAGAAGATGCTGTCAGGGAGCAGTTGGTGGACAGGGCAGTAGAATGACCACAGCCACAGTGCAGTGAGGAAGGGAGGGCTTCTGGGTGCAGGGATCGGCAGCCCTAGTGCAGGCAATACTGAGGCCCAGGAGTCACACAGGTTGGGTTCCAACCCTGACAGTGACCCTTTCTGAGCCTTGGCTACCTCTGCTGTTTTGGGGCAATATGATGACCTTCTGTAGAGTGGTGACTTTGCAGTCAGAGTCAGGGCAAGGTGTGTCCTTGAGTCCAAGCAGGGTTCCAGGTGGTGGAGGAAGGGCCTTGGCCTGAGCAGCAGGTGCTAGGGCTGCAACTGAGGCTGCTGGAGCAATGGTGGGCAGAGGCAGGCCACTTCAGGCATTTCCAGAGCCCCCCTGAAAGGCCTGGGCACCCTGGAGAAAAGCTCCCCCTCCAGATTCCAGGTGGCAGCAGGACTTGATATCAAGAGGATGTCAGGATGTCGGAGGGTAGAAAGATAAAGCCGTGCCTCCCCCCTCCTGGGCGAGTGCGCAGGCGCGTGCCTTGTTACTGAGCTCTGTGAGCATGTGCGCAGGAGGCGTTCCCTGGGCTTGATTTCATAAGTAGGGACTTCAGGGGCACTGGGCCTAAGGATGGCAAGTGCCCTCTAAGATCCCTGTGATGGTGCTGAGGATGCCAGCTTGGTGCCACCCAGTGAGGGGACCAGGCTGGCGGGGGCCCAAGGCCTTTCCCCGCCCACCCTTCCAGCCACAGAGGAGGCATTGATGGCACAGAGGTGCCCAGAGGCTGCTGCAGCTGGCGTGGCATGGGCACCGCCAGGCCTTGGGAGGGGGAGTCAGGGTGATGTGGCCCCCAGGTCATCATTGGGCAGGCTTCAGGACCTAGGTGTGCCCTTCTGGTCAGCATGGATGCCCTGGTCAGCACCGATGCCCTGGGCATCCTGGCTGGTCCTCATGTGCTTCTGTGCTGCAGGCGGGGGTGCCTGAGTCAGCACCCACACACCTCTGATAGGAGAACCATGTGCTTCCTTCCCAGGATGTTGGCAGGAGACAGAGGGTGCGTGTTCACCCTCAGTGGACCTCCACCCTGCCCAGATGTCTTCAGTGTCGCTTCTGCTACCAGGCAGAATCAGGTCACCTGTGCCAGCAGACCCACCCCTTTGGCTCAGCTTCCCACCACTGAATTCCAGGACCCCAGTGCTCACACCTCTCCCTCAGATTCTGTGCTGTCCACTCCCTCCATCCCATGGCCCCCACTTCTTCTCTCAGCTTGCCTGCCTGTCCCCTCAGCCTGGGCTCCAGATCTCCTCCAGCCCTCTACCTCTATTGAGCTTTTGGGCATTGCTCCAGGTTATGTTAAGACCCCCTAGGTTCCCCCTGCATGATATGGGCCTCTCCAGTGCGGCTACCACTTCAATGAGCATGCTAGTTACGGCTTTCACAAGCAAAGTTCCTTAGAGGATGGAAACACGTTCAGTTTTTCCTCCCCTTCTGGTAGGCCCTGAACAGACACCACAGTGGACTGTGGACAACTCCGCCCCACCAGCCTCCCTCTGGCTTCCACATGAGCTGCCCCCCAATGCAGGCTCAGGTAATGAGGCTCTGAAACGTTCCCAGCAAGCCCTGGAAGCTCCGTTCACACCCCACAGGGCTGACCCCTGCCCACACTCACACAATGCACACCCAGCACACACACAGAAGCACGTGCACACCACACTCGAACAAGCAGAGGGCCTCAGATTAAGACTTGAGTATGTAAACACACCTGCTACACGGACACGTGCAGACACGGTCATACACACGCACGCACGCACGCACACACACACGTGCA